CACCCTGAAAATACTCCTTTAACAAATGAATGAACATGTGTAATTCTGGAAAACATAATTAAGCGCTAGCCGGTTTGCCTCGGTGGTTAGAGCATTGGCCTGCAGACTGAAGGGTCCTGGGTTTGATTCCAGCCAAGGGCACATACTACCTTGGTTGCAGGCTTGACTCCTAGCCTCGGTTGGGGAGAGTGTGAGAGGCAACCAATCAACATGTCTCTCTCACATAAATGTTTCTCTCTCTCTCCCACACCTTCCACTCTGAAAAGCAATGGAAAAAATATCCTTGGCTTAGGAGTAAAAAAATAACAACATAATAAAGCCTGCAGAGAATTTGCTTCTACCTCCACTTTTCTGGTGACATAAATCACTTTTATATCAACCTTACTTACTACTATGGGAATGTAAATATTTTTAAAATAAATTAAGCTAGCCCGGCTGGGCGTGGTTCAGCGGTTGAGCATCCACCTAGGATCCAGGAGATCACGGTTCGGTTCGATTCCCGGTCAGGGCACATGCCTGGCTCGATCCCCAGTAGGGGGCGTGCAGGAGGCAGCCAATCAATAACGGCTCTCATCATTGATGTTTCTATCTCTCTCTCTCACCCTCTCTCTGAAATCAATATATATTTAAAAAACAAAAATTAAGCTATTTGCAATAATTTCTCAATTTTACNTCTCTGAAATCAATATATATTTAAAAAACAAAAATTAAGCTATTTGCAATAATTTCTCAATTTTACTATTTTTTAAATTTTATTTTTGTTTAAAATATTACAGATGTCCCTTTTTCTCCCCAGTGACCCATTCCATCCCATCCCACCCCCCTCCCCAGTCCCTCTCCCACCACTGTCTGTGCCCTTGGGTTGTGCATATATGCATATAAATTCTTTGGTTACTCTCTCCCCCGCCACCCACCCGCCCTCCTCCATCCCTCTGACATTCATCAGTCTCATCTATGCTTCCATGTCATTGAATCTATTCTGTTCATCAGTTTATTAAGTTCTTTAGATTCCAC